CTTAAGGCAAAATTTTCATCTATCCAAAATCCTTACAAAATGTATTCCTTCTGAAATGTTTACTAAATACTCATGTACTGAATAACCTCATCCTCAGTGATACCTTTTGTGCTTAAGTGTAGGAGGGTCCTTGAAAATTAGGTGATATAAAGGTAGAAGGTAATACTTTATAGTACAAATTATCCTCAGTTTACCAGCTTCCCTTGGTAATAAAGGTGATGTTAATTGGAGTATTACTGACAACTTGATAAATAAGAACAGCAAAATTTTCCTTTCCCCCTCCCCCCCATTTCACTTAGCCCACAATTTCTAAGGAGCTGATATACAGTATTACTATAACATTAAGGTCTAATATTATAATAACAAGTTTGCTTTTGAAATTCAGTCTGGAGTGTAAAATATTAAGCCACATTAGAGGTAATGAGTTATCTGTATTTAAACACACAAACCATGCATGATGCTTAAATAGAGGGTTTGTTTCCAGTAGATTCTTTCAGTTGGAGTCTTTTAAAATATTTGCAGCAAAATATTTACTGTAATTGTTGCAAATAGTGCGTTCTTAACATCTCTAATAAAAAATAACAGCGGGATCAAATCGGTAAGAGCATGGAGAAGTTCTTAGGGGCTTTGAATCCAGCAGGATAATGTAATTAATAAGACTGTATTTGACAAAGGAATATATAATTTATACCTAATACAATACATGTAATAATGTAGAATTTAACATATAATTTACAACTATATGCCTGCCAAATCAAGCTAATTGGACAAGTTTTTAAAACAGCTGATGATGTAATCCATCTGCATGTAACCTTGAATACTTCAGGCAGTTTGAGAAAGAACTTCATTGTAAAGTATTTGGTCTTTTCCTCCTCACTTTTCAAAGGAAGTTCTTTTGAGATGAAGGAAAATTAAAAAGAATGTTATTGACATGAAATATTAAAAGGCAAGCTTGCTGAAGCCAGCTTCAGAGCATTTTAACTTTTGCCTTTTAATTCCATTATGGGCAAGGTTTTGCTGAGCATTATCAGTGATGCAGAAGACCATGCTCATAGGAAAGTTCTGCAGTGCAAAGTATAAAATATGTTGATGATTTAACATGTACACCCCCAGCGTTCCCCACACAGGGGTCAAAAGCCAGGGTTCAACTGGACTCACAAATACATCACCCTGAATCAAACAGAGCATCCCTAAATCGTAGCAGTCACTACCACACACTCATTACATTAATAAATTGCTCACTAATGGGAGAGGTGACAAGTAAGATGTGCACTTAGTGGCCCTGTTTGCTGCCTGCTCCTGATGCCTGAATGCCCGTTTTTCTCTGGGTTATGTTCTAAAGTCTTCAAAGTGCATGAAGAAAATCTGCTCAGTGTTGTGAAATAAATCAAAGAGCGTCTGCTGAAAATTCCTAAAACGCTTCTGCCCTAATCTCCTGGACCAGAGAGTGGGCTTGCAGAATGCTAAACTTGCTTTTCAAAGAAGATCAAAGCAATGCCAGCAACAATTAAAAGCAGGGGTGCAGGTGCGCGCATGCGCGGGGGCTCCGCGGAGGCACCAAGAGCCTCTTTTTAGTCATCCCTGAATGCTAACGCTGACTTATCTAATCATTCCACGTGTGCTTTGAAAGGACAGGAGATGTGTTTGTGAGAGACACAAAAACTGTCCGCCTTTTGGGATAAAACGTAACATTTTACAAGACACTCTCTTTCCATTAATTTTGAAAAGCTCCTCAGCTACTGTCTAATTAAACCAGCCTGTAATTTTGTTGTTTAGTGATTCAAAGATAAATGAAGTTTCAATTGTGTATCTATCCTTCCTCCTGTTACTTAGTCTTTCAATAGGCTTTCTCTACCTCAACACTTCGAGGGCCAGCTGCTTGCCTTACCCCAACACCTGAATAACCAGGTTTGGCAGCTTATCAGGAGCACTGCAGCAGTTTAATTTGCCTGCTTCAACTTCTATCCAGTGCTGGTTGTCCTGCTCTCTTCACACAGTTACACAAGAAATACTTGTGTTAGTAGCTAAGTGTAAGGAGTGCTCGTGCCTGAGGGAGGGTGATGTTACATGACAAGTGCTACGCCTCCAGAACGGGGGGAGACTTAGCAGCCAACCTGCTGTTTCCCTGATAATATGGTTTGTCTGTTTTCCCCTTCTCAAGATGGCATTTCACTGCACAAACCAGAAAGGGAAGGAAAAAACCCTCAAGGCCCGCCAATAAACAGCCATGGGAAAAAACTCTTCCAAGTTCACAGGATAAGTAAGGAAGGAGTAAAACCCTGAATGAACTCCCCTGGCTAAACTGGGTTAGGATGAAAAATGCTTCTACTAAATGCTGAAAATTTAGGTCAGTCTTGTTTATGTGAAGATATAAACAACTGACATTTTGAGAAGCATGTGAATCGAAGTGATATTTCTGTGTTCTCTCTGAATCACATTGGGCCACCAGGCCCTTTTATACCAACCAATTTCTCCCCCTTCAAATAAAAAAATAAATCTGAATTGTCATGTCAGCTGTAAGCAGCAACACATTGGAGTACTGTACTTCAAAGCCTAGTGGCAGCAGCCCTGATATATTTCATATTTTTAAAAAACATCGAGTTAACTGAGTGGCTACCTGGGAAACATATAACAGAACCAAGTAGGTACAGTTTTGAAAGCTGCTTGCCTCTTTCCTACCCCCATATTACAGAGGTTATATTATTCCCCTATAAGTATCAAGAGAAGATGAGGAAAAAGATAGCAGATGCCCTTCTGAGACCTAATTGATGTTATCCAAAACATGCATCACACCAGATATCCATTACACTTAACACAGCTCAACGTAAGGTGATTCTGACAATGTGAACAGGGCTCCATCCTATTTCTCTTCAAATCCACGTGAATAGTTTATTATATACAGACCAGGCACAGCGATTCATTTTGATAAAATGCTGCTTAGCAGCATCAAAACTGCCTGAGCATTTTGTCTGCCTGTACTTAGGCTTCCTACTGCTGCCATTGAAACAAATGGCAGAATTCCCATTTACTTCCATGGGTGGAGAGCCAAGCTCGTAGAAACCTTTGTTTTTAAGGAAAAACATTTTTCCTCCCACTCATGAGTACAGTTCTCCCGAAAACCCAATGGAACTGTTTAAGAAGTCAGGTGGTTAGGACCAGGCCCAGAGGTCAGGAACAAAGAATATTAATACAGTCTTGCTTTTGAAAAACTGAGCAGCAACCTCAAAGCATTGCTGTTGTTTTCAAAACAGAAAATGTCACTCTCAGATTTAAATATGAAGATTTTAAAACATATATAAATCTGTGAAGGAAAAAGGAAGCACATATTTCATTTAATGTCTGGATTACAGATTCTTATTAAACAAACCGAGCTCATTATAAAATCAATATCAACCACTACACTCCCAGGAGAAATGGCAAAAAAGGTCACTCCAAGAAATTCAAACAATTTTCCTGCTGGAAGGGCACGATTTTAATTACAGATACTATTAATTAGAGCTGTCAGTAGGAAGATTGTCCTGTTAATTATCAGAAATTCAGTTTCAAGTGTGGTTTTGGAACCTGGAGGGCTTTTCAAAAAAATTAAGAATTCCTGTATTCACAATTAACAGAAGAAAAAGCCTACCTATAGCTTCTGTGCTTTAAATAAGCCAACAGCAAGTCACCTATTAAAATCAAACAAATATTTATGGGCACAGTCTCACTGGCCAACAAAACTGATAAACTGCTGTTTTGTTCACACTTAATCCCAGAGAACACTCCCTTTTTTTGTCTACAGGAAATGCTCTTGCTCTCACTCTGTCTTGCTTTGGAAGTCATTAAATGCAAAGATGTGATCCAGTGATTTTTTTAAAAAGTAAACACGTCTTTAAAAGTGTAAACCAAAACCTTTCCTGAATATACTAATTGTTACAGAAACATTCATATTTATTATTCTGTACTTAATTCTCTCTAGACCCAGCCTGTGGAAATATACTTAATGCATTACATCTTTAATATCTAAGAGGTACAGACAGATCCAAACTTTGTGAAGAAATATGAGTTTATTCCCATAATACTCTCAACTGCCAATTTAAATCTATCTCAGCTCCAGGATACAGAAAGGCCAGAATGTCTGATCCTAAGCAGAACAAGAAAGTAAAATAAAACTTGACAAAAAAGTGTTGTTAGCGAGGCCCTATGGATGTACAATAGACAGAGATACTACAGAGACAATGTTTACACATTCTCAAATTCTTTTTCCTGGTCACACTCCAAATATTTTGGGTAGCAGACCAGGGCTGTCTGGTATATGACCATAACACATGCACTACCACACCAATAACACACCAAGAATGTAAGTGCCATATGATCTAAAACAAACTTCAGGAAGATGCAGTGTCTCACCACCCAACACTTTTGAAACCGAAAGAGAAAGCTGGAGGTTTCTGATTTATTTCTGAGAAGCTGAGTGCAGTCCTCCAGCATTACTGGGTACACATCTGCTATCATTGTTCTCCTAGAACCAGTCTTGGTTTAACTCCCATCTATCAGCATTAGATTTCATTTTATCTGAATAATGGCAGAAGGTGGCAACAGATCGGGTCAAAGGCTCTTTTCATATCAGACCCTGAAGAAGTCGATTACTCAAAAAGAGAGACATCTTCAGATAACCGTGCAATCCATTCCTCATAAATGTTAAAGATTTTTCGTTATTAATAGTGGCAGGGGTGACAGATTATGGATATTAATGTTATTTTTCTGAGAATTTCAATGGCAAGGGCTGGGATTTTATTTTTTTTATGCTTCTAATTAGGCACGAATTTACAGCAGCTACCAGAATAGCCAAGATTAATACCCAGTAGTAAAAAGCTGCTACACCGAATACGCGGGACTATGAATGGAACGGGGGCGGGGGGGAAGCTTCGGAAACAAACCCACCCCCGCGACTCCCAAGGCGAGAAGGGCCCCCCCGGGGGTCTGCGGGCAGCGGGGCAGGGCCGAGGAGAGCTCGCTCTTACCTGGTAAGCAGCGGGCGCATCGGAGCCGGC